CTCAGAAGATTGTTTCTGTGGCAGTATCAACAACTGTCTTGTTGATAACAGCTTCAAAAAAATTGATGATGATACTAAGGATACTGAGCCAAAACAGATGTCACAAATCTTGTATGATGTGAGATCAGGAAAGATAGGTAAGGATTGACCTTTGTCATCTAATGTGAAATTAGATACATTAGTTTTAACTGATTAGAAAGAGATAACCCCAGGGTCATGTATAATGGAAGGTACTGACAATTGAGGATTGTATTTGCAATTTTACAGAATTTGTGGGATCCAAGTTTTTTTTTTCTACTCTGGCTTGTACTGCCAGCATATAGCTGCTCTTTGTATTATTTAGGATTCTCTTGTAATGATAGGATTTCATTAGCATGCGGTTCTCAATGGGACAAGAGTTTTGCTACACCATTCCCTCTTATAGAGACAAAGGAGCAAAGAACCTATATCTAATTTTGCTTTAACATGAAAAAAATGCTGCAAAAGCCCTGAAATATTTAAGGTAGAATGGCAAGTTCTGTGTTCTAAAATGTCAAATTCCATTTTCTTCTATGACAGTAAATATCAATTTTCTGTTTTTGGTTCAAAATTATAAAAACATGTGAAAAACAGAGACTTGTGTGCAAATAGTAAAATATACAAATATATAGCCTACTTTATAGGCATCTTTATTTTTTTTATGCATCAGCAATTTCTGATGATTCACAGGCATGTCCCTCAGAGTCCAATCCAATTGACAAAAACTGCAAAATAATGATAAAAATTATAATGGAAAGCTGGCTTTTCAGCTCTGTATTTTGCTGAAAGTGTGCACTCACCAAGTGACCATGGGAGAAATGCATAAGTAGGAAGTAGTGTGGCATCTAAATAATTGCTATTTCTAGTCTATCATCTATACTATATCGATCACCATTTCTATTCTATCCTCTAATACTATACAAACCGCTATTCTCTATACTATTCACTATACTATTTCTCTATTCGGATCACTATATGGATCAATATACTGATCAATTTGGTGGTTACTTTTCGAGTGAGTATTATTGAGCAAGTACTATTATTGTGAGTGTTATTCAAAGGCATCTGACATCAGCATTGTTCAACAGTATTACTATAGTTGTATCTGCAATTACAACATCTCTACTACAACAAGCATTACGAAAGTGACAACGAATATTCGCTGACATCACAAAAGTAGCAACGGGTGTTTGTTGACATCAGAAAAATTTTACCCTTGAAATATTTTATCTTTTAGTAGCAAAAATCCGGTTTTTCTGTGAATTTTTGTTTTTTTCCATTTTCTACTTTTTTTTCTGTGTTTTATTTTCAGTTTTCTGTATCATGGAGAACTTGCCATTCTAATTTAAGTAAATGTTCAGCGGTAATGTTATAAGGCAAAAGGAAAATTCATGTAGTAAAAATGCTTCAAGGACAGATAAATATCTGTCAATGACAATCAGCATTGCAGATGACAATAGAAAACATTGAAAAATGTATAAGTTTAATCTATCTGTGATGATCGTAGTATTGTTGTTTGAAAGTATTCAGCATATTTGACAGACATTTTGAATATTACACTCTTTGCTACAAAATTCTTGAGACTGCTGAGTGATAACCATGGTCATTATATTTGCTATCATTAATTAATTCAAAAATCAAACCAGAAAAGACAATATTAATCCCAATATCAGAACGAGTCATGAACAATAAGTTTACGGTTACGACTATTCCAAGACACCAAAATCAAATTTACAGCAATGCCATTATTGATCTTTTTCATTGATATCCAAAGCACTGGTCACAAATAATTTCTCTTATATTCAAACTGTAAATAGTAATTTTTGCTATGTGCAATTCTGAAGTAGCTAAGGGAGATTATTCAATGCAAACATCCAGAAAAGTGAAATAACATCATATGAACTCTTCACCTTGATAATTAATTCATGTCAATTGACAATGAACAATCATCATGCCAATGATCCTGTATCATTTGTAATCTGACATTTCCTAACTTCCAAAATACAACTGTCATTCTACATTCCCCATATTTGCATGATCTTGCTCCTGTATCTTTTATTTTCTGTTCCTCAAAATGAAATTCTGGCTGGCATAGCATTGTTTTGATTGAGAAGATCCAGATAGAATCACAAGAGATGAAAGATGAAATTACTCATCGGGGACTTCCAACAATGCAAGGAATCTTGCAAAGGAATCATTGTGTATATACCAAATATATTACTTTGAGGTAGATATAGGGAAAGTACTTGTTTGGGTAAGTTATTATTGGCAATGGGAAAATACCCTAAACTTTTAGATAGCAATTAGTATTGAATCACTAGCTATAAATACAATCTCATTTGACTGGATGCCATTAGCATTAAAATGGTGTTACTGCTTTAGCAGTCAAGATAGTTATGGGAGAGAGATTTGCGCACATGTCATGCACCTACTCTTTATTTAATATAGTGTCATGTCAGTAAAAAGACATTTCTGCTAATGTTCCTAGTAATGCGACAAATCACAGATAGAAATAAATCCATGCCTCCCTCACAGTGTAAAATGAAAATTAAAATGTTATACCACATGTTCCAGTTAAATGTCAAAATAATAACATCAGCTTATGTTGGAATACTATTGTTGTGAAAAGTTGACTTGCAAGGATAATTGTTGAATTAATAATATGCAAAATATTTTTAAACAGAATATAAATGCTTTTGGCCTGTTCAGAATTTAGAAGCAAGATTAATTTGTTGATTGTAATCAGTAATAGTAACTATAATTTGTGGATGGTAATCAGTGACAGTAACTACAATTTGTTGATGGTAATTATGTTTAGTAACTATAATTTGTTGAGAGTAATCAGTGATATTAACCATAATTTGTTGACAGTAATCAGTGATAGTAACTATAATTTGTTGATAGTAATCAGTGATAGTAATCAGTGATATTAAATATAATTTGTTGATAGTAATCAGTGATAGTAACTATAATTTGTTGATAGTAATCAGTGATTATAACTCTTATGAGAGAGAGATTTGCACACATGTCATGCACCTACTCTTTATTTAATATAGTGTCATGTCAGTAAAAAGACATTTCTGCTAATGTTCCTAGTAATGCGACAAATCACAGATAGAAATGAATCCATGCCTACCTCTCAGTGATAGAAAAAAGATGAAGTTGAAGAAAATTTTTTTCCTTTTTTATTCAATCTTTGTGGATGTTGTACATCTGTTGCCTCCAAAAACTTAATTCAGGTGAAAGAAGACATAGCTTCAACCAATCGAAGCAAAGAGAGAAACACAATTTCCGATTAGTAACTCTGGACATATTACAGTCCCCACTGAATTTTTTTTTTCTTTCTCCGTACATAGCAATGTAAATTTTAAATTGCATTGCTCTGATGCTCCATTCATAGAAAATTTGAAAAACATTTTGATGACTTATTCACCCAGTAAAAATTGATTACCTGCTAAAATTGAAATTCTTCTCTTGATTTCAGCTAGTAATAGGTTTATAGAATACTAAACATGTACACTAATTCAGGTGGATGAATATTTTATCAATTGATCATGGACAGTGATATGCATCTAGCTAAACAGACGTTTCTTTTCAAGTAATTTTTACATTTTTTTCTTTTCCTAAAAATAGCAAGTATAATTAATCAGTCAACCATCTGCTTTGATATCTCTATCTATAAAAAGCAGGATGTGTGTGTGTGTGTTTTAACGAATGCATAGCCACAATTTTTGATGGATTTGCACCAAAATTTACATGCACATGCTTCAAGTTAGCGGGAAGGCCAAGACTGACTTTGCATTACCCAACTCGATTTTTTCATGCTTCTACGGCAGTTTTCATGTAGTTTGCGGCCATTTTGTACTGGCCAGAGTGAGAGCCTATAGTTGGCTGCCACGAATAGGCAGGAAGATTCTATTGGCCAGCATGAGAGCCAACAGCTGACTGATACGAATGTTAACTAGCATGCTAGCATGCAAAAAAATCGATAGCTGCATTCATCACAAGTGGGAAAAATTTAAATCTGCATGGCACTTTACTCCACTTGGCTCATTCGCTTGCTTATACTCAACATTGATTCTGATTCCACAGAACTGGGTTGGATGTGAAAAAGTATTTGTTGTTAACATTCTTTTTTCATTTGGCTTTTCCAGTTACGAGTCCTTTCTTAAAGCTGATCGTTTTGTGTTCATTTTGTTTAGTTCTTTTTTCGTAATAGATTTAATGTTTAGTATAGAGCTTAGAAAAAATTTTCCCTGTCATTACATTGATCTCTCTCTGGATCTATATCCTCATTGGAATTATCCATATGGATTACCAAATAATTTTATCATATATATATATATATATATATATATATATATATATATATATATAGCTTTAATTAAATTCTCAAACCAAAACAAAACTATTAAATAAGTGATATAAACAAATTTTTACTACATTAATAAAAAAACACTGATTAAAAAATAAGTAAATAAATGAATAAATAAATAAATAAATAAAATAAGAAACAAAAAATAAAATTAAATAAAAACAAGCAAAATAATTTAACCCAAATAAATAAATAAATGACTTCCGGTAAAATAACCGCCATAATAGACTACACACAATGCATCACTGACCCGTATATGTATAAATAGCCGAGAAAAATAACAGCACACGTGGCCTGATGATTGCATATAGCATGAAACAGACTGTCGCCTCTAAGTGTTGACTTCTATGTTCACTTTTATATTTACACATGCTCTATCTCAGATATTGAGCACTTTATCCCATAAATATAGCACACCTTAAGACTATATCACTTCATATATATATATATATATATATATATATATATATATATATATATATATATATATTGATATACCCCCCCTTATGAGTAGTCATAGTGATTGCTGGAGGGTCTGTCCATGAAAGTCTAGAATCAGGATGCTGAAGGTACCATCAATCGGCTAAGTGACAAACCTTTTACTTACATTAATTTTAGATAGATAGATAGATAGATAGATAGATAGATAGATAGATAGATAGATAGATAGGGGAAACTGAGGTGTGTGTGTTTAATATAAATAGGTAAAGATTGATCATAATTTAAATAAATATCCAATATACTATAAGATGAAAGCGAACAAATTACAGCAATTAACTGCAAATGCAGTGGGATTTCAACTTTTGCTTGCTGTTGACATTTTGCTTTTATGTACTATTAACAGTTTTTTTTTATATTTTACTGACACATGCAGACAATGTTTTGTCTTTAAATTCTTGAAATAAATAAAGTAGTAAAGCTTCTGTTATTTTATTTATTATAAGAACAGAGACTGTGTGTTAAGAAATGCAAATAAACTTTTATAAAGTTGAAGAGAGTGACTCAAACAATAAATGAAAGAGCAAAAAATAATTGTGAATTGAAATTCCAAATTTGCATTATTATATCTTAACAGAAATGCATAAATTCCACTTTTTCAGTGTGTTGGAACAAATTTTAATTTTAAAAAATATACAAATTGCATAAAGCTTTCAAGTCAGCATTCTGAAAGTTTGCAATATTTACTTTGACAGCATTTTTTTTTCTGCTGTTGAGAGAGAAGAATGGCAAAAGACAATTAAGCTTTCAAATTCAAAAGTTTGAAAAGTTTATTAATTAAATTGAACTAATCCAATTAATTATATGCTGGAGACTGAAGTATATAGACAAGATGAAACTGAGTGCTTAAACTGAGTAAAACTTTGTAAAAATTTATCAATTGATTGGCTTACAGGATTTGTCAAATCAGGTTAGACAGTCAAATACCTTTCAAGATGTTCTGATTTTTTTTTTTTTTTTTACCGGCACTTTTGTGGTTTATTAAATTTCTGCTTAAATTACTTTACATTTTCTTGGAAGTATTTGCCTTAAGTTACTTGGTTTCTCTAAAAAGAAATCATCGATTTTTCTTTTATTCCTAAAATCCAATTTTATGTACACAAACACACACATGTATTTAGGCAGCAGCTCTTTATCAATACAAGTTTGATTAAAGGCCAGAGAAAAGTTTTTTTTATGTTTAGTTCATATTTCCATAAAAGAAAACACACGTTTGGATCCAATGAATATAAATATTGATAAAAATGTTTGTGATCTGGCACTTTTGAGTATACTTCTCATTATGACAAGAGGAAGCAGGAAAGATGTTGACCTAACCAAGATGAGTTCCAAAATAAGTTCTGATGTTGTATTATTTGAATCTGGAAAGTGGGTTTGTCAAAGAACATTTCAGTAAAACTTTGGATGAATATTAGGTAAAAACTGTGAATATTATTAATGCACAAGGAAACATTCTTCAGCAAGCACTCATTACTCAAAGTTTTTATAACAGCAATCTTATATTTGTATAAAAATTCATATAATAGTGACAGGAATTTTTAATTACACCGTCATCCATACAACATCAGGACAAAATTCTAAAGCAATTCAACTCTTTGAAGATATTACTTTTGAACAAAAATCCCCTTCGAAGAAAATATGACCAAGAATTGTAAGTATTCTAATTCATGCAGTTGTAGCAAGTAAGGGTGAGACCAGATGTCCGGTAAAATTAAGGGTGAAGAAACATTGAAAGGTTATGGTCCATATAAACTAAAATGAGTGATGGGTGATTGTGTTTGGAGGGAAAAGGGTAGTCATCAAACCCCCCCCTTCCTGTGGAATTGAAACAACATAATAGATAGAGAATAATGCTAGGGGATAAGATGACCCGAAAGAATAAGCACACATGTTAGGCTTTGTCAATATCTTCAGTTGTCTAACTATAAAAATGAACATAGTTTGTGAGCAAGGAAAATAGAATGAGAACAATCTACTTCCATGGACTGAAAAAAGGATTTGGTCTGAAATTCCAAGAAAGTTACCAAGCATAATAGACATCTGAAGAAGGCTATAGGAATCAGTGACCGCAAAACATTGTGAATATAACAAACAAGATGTGACTGCAGGTCTGAATGGAAAAGCAAGCAAATAAATGTCTGAAATTTTAAAAAAATATACAAATTGCATAAAGCTTTCAAGTCAGCATTCTGAAAGTTTGCAATATTTACTTTGACAGCATTTTTTTCTGCTGTTGAGAGAGAAGAATGGTAAAAAACAATTATGCTTTCAAATTCAAAAGTTTGAAAAGTTTATTAATTTAATTGAACTAATCCAATTAATTATGTGCTGGAGAGTGAAATGTATAGACAAGAAGAAACTGAGTGCTTAAACTGAGTAAAACTTTGTAAAAATTCATCAGTCGATTGGCTTACAGGATTTGTCAAATCAGGTTAGACAGTCAAATGCCTTTCAAGATGTTCTGATTTTTTTTTTTTTTTTTTACCGGCACTTTTGTGGTTTATTAAATTTCTGCTTAAATTACTTTACATTTTCTTGGAAGTATTTGCCTTAAGTTACTTGGTTTCTCTAAAAAGAAATCATCGATTTTTCTTTTATTCCTAAAATCCAATTTTATGTACACAAACACACACATGTATTTAGGCAGCAGCTCTTTATCAATACAAGTTTGATTAAAGGCCAGAGAAAAGTTTTTTTTTATGTTTAGTTCATCTTTCCATAAAAGAAAACACATGTTTGGATCCAATGAATATAAATATTGATTAAAATGTTTGTGATCTGGCATTTTTGAGTATACTTCTCATTATGACAAGAGGAAGCAGGAAAGATGTTGACCTAACCAAGATGAGTTCCAAAATAAGTTCTGATGTTAGATTATTTGATTCTGGAAAGTGGGTTTGTCAAAAAACATTTCAGTAACCCTTTGGATGAATATTCGGGAAAAACTGTGAATATTATTAATGCACAAGGGACCATTCTTCACTGAGCCCCAATTGTTTGTGATCTAGAGATGGAAGATGAAACTAAGTGGTTAAACTAAGTAAAACTTTGTAAAAATTCATCAGTTGATTAGCTTACAGGATTTGTCAAATCAGGTTAGATAGTCAAATGCCTTTCAGGATGTGCTGATTTTTTTACCTGCACTTTTGTGGTTTATTAAATTTCTGCATAAATTACTTTACATTTTCTATGCTATTGAATATATGATATCTTTCTCATTAGACTTTACTGCAGTATTATTTCTACTTAAAATATAGGGTAACTAATTTTTCTCAAGTAATATGAGAATGTTAAATTCAAATTTCCCATAATTGACATCAGAATATGTAAGTAACTAATAAAAGAGTCAAAAACAAAATGTATGAAGAATATTTGGAACCGAATTGTATCTTAATATTTATTTAATTTACATAATCATACAGTGTTTTTTTTTATAAAGGCCTTTATGCCAAACATGTTATAGAGCAACTTTCTTCAAGGAAAGAAAATTGTTTGTGTTTGAAACAGGTTTTCAGAAAATTAATAATTTGTTTACAAAATTTGTTTCGTGAGAATTTATATGCAACACTAATCTGATTGCACGTTTTCATATATGTTAAAAGAAAATAGCAGACATGAAGAATCACTGAACAATACGACATTGCAAAAGAATTTGTATTTTTGAAAAGGAAGAAATAAAGCTGTCTTGGATGCATAAAGCCAGCCTGACAATTAACAAAGTTGGAATTCATTCATTTCTTTGCTTTGATATTCTGAAACAAAGCTAACAAAACAAGTTTTGATTTTCTACATTCAACATTTCAATTTTTTTTTCCTTGATAATGCATATCAGCTTTAAGTACATGTTATGACATTAGCAAAGAAACTGGTTGCATTATGAGACACAATCCACAATGACAGAATAACTAAATAAGTGGATAAAACCATCCCTTCTTTTATAGAATTTCCCACATCCTGAAGGGGGATGGAAAATCACCACTGTCTACAACTTCCTATCCTATATATCTCTAAACACTGTTTGTCCCCTTGCTACCTCTCAACCCCTGTCTTACCATCCATTTACACAAACTTGTTAGGTAGGTTACACACAGTTTCCTTCAACATGATGTCATTCTTATGTTGTTAAGATTGTGTCTGTCAATAATAAACCCTGGTAGAACTTCAAGTTCTTTTAGAATTGTGTTAACATTTATGGACATAGACATAATATCAAAATTTGTTTTATATATGCAGTATTTTGTGGATTACTCTATACAAGTTATTTTCATTAAATCAATTGTTTTCCTTTGTCCATATCAAGTTTTCTAGTTTATGTCTAGGGTACCTCCATTTTTTCCTCTGTAGTAACAGATTTATACTTTTTTCTTACAGCAAATGATGACGTTTGTTTGCTATGTATAATTGACTTAAAATTCTTTGGTTATGCTTTTCTTACATGTTTTTAATTTCATAAAACCATGTGTGACACACATTCTACAATGACTCATTTATTAGTAGTATAGAGTGAAAATGAAAAAAAAAACATTTTGTAAGCAAATGAACTTGAAACTGGCTAGCCTGTTACAAAATGTATGGTTATTATTTTTTTGGATTTAAATTTTGTTTTATTTGGATTATAAAATGTTAATTTTCCACTTTTATAATGCTTTTTGTCTATGGTATGTATCAGGTCATCCCATAAGTTCTGTCCGAATTTTAACTTTTTGTTAAAATGAACAAAATTTAAAGAGTATTTTATAATGTCTAATGGAGATGAACATTATTTTTGTTTAGATGCATATAAACTGATCAAATTTTATTTCAGAGAACAATAAAATTAAATTTTGTTTGAGTAAAACCCTGCTAACATGGAAGTACCCAAGAATCATTTGAGGCACATAATGCTTTATGAGTTCAAGAAAGAAAACTCAGCAGCTGAAGCGGCTAGAAACATTCACTCACTTTATGGAGAGGAATGTGTGATTGAAAGAATTTGCAGAAGATGGTTTGCAAAATTCAGAGGTGCAGATTTCACCCTTGAAGATGAAGATCAAACTGGACGTCCAGTTGAGTTTGATGAAAAGCTTCTTGAAGCAGCCCTTGAAGAAAATCCTGCTTTATCTGTTGAGGAATTGGCAGTGGTTCTCAGTTCAAACCATACAACTGTTCATCGTCATCTTCAACAACTTGGAAAAGTTC